TGGGAAATTCTTGACCGCTGAGTGTTTACTGCTATGATGAGTTTCAACGGTGTTAAAAAACATTTTTAAATGATCTAATTCATTTCTAAAATATGTGAATTGGAATTATATTAATTGCTTTTTTAGTCTAAATATCCAACAAACTGCGGAAAACAGTGAAGAATCAATGCAAACCCGCGAAGAAGGTCTCATGCGACTTGCACCACTGATCACTACAGTTTGTGTGGTTCTTTCCAAGCGTAAGTTTTTCTCTTTTTGTAATTTTATTTCACCATCTTGTGGACATTTTTGAAAATTTTTTTCTGGAATAAAGTTCATTCATATTTTGTTAATTTGAATTATTTTCGTACTTCTCTGCAAGGCAATTATTTCAATGATAAGTATCTGTGCTCTTCACTTTTTTAACTGTAATTGCATCCCTATCTTGTAGTATAATGGAAGCTTTTGTAGGAGTAAAAGAGTTACCTGTGAAGTCACAGAATATTGAAAAGGATGCAGTTACTGAAGAAGAGAGATATATGAAAGTTATGAAGGCTTTGCAATTTGGTTAGTGATTCAGTTCTTATTAGCTAGATTAATTTCACTGTTTGTATCGACATTCATACCAAATTGCAAATTTAAATATTTTTCAGTTTTTAATCATTTTCCAGATACAATATCATTCTTCGCAGAAGGTTCATTCATTCCATATCATTATGAAAATTCGCTTTCCTCTGTTGGCACCACTAGTTCGATGGGAAAACGTACCAGACGTTTGGCGCAAGAAATTGTTACATTGAGTAATTCACTGCCATTGAGTTCAAGTAGTTCTGTTTTTGTTCGTGCTTGCGAAGAACGGCTGGATGTCATGAAGGTCTGTTCTCATTTTTTTTGCAGATTTTCTGAATTGGAATTTTTAGATTTTCCTGTCTGTTATTTTTTAGAACTACAATATAATTCTCAAAAAGACAGAAATTGTAAAAATAATTATATGAACGGGAGTGTAAAGCGACGAAAAGATGTTAGACGCAACAATGTATAGCGCTAATCTAGAGTTTTCGAGCAGTATTTAGCAGTATTATCTCAGACTTCAATTAAAATTTGTTTAATTTGTACGCAATTTAGAGTGTTCTTTTTATAGGTACTGATTACGGGTCCAGCAGATACTCCATATATGAATGGATGTTTTGAATTTGATGTTTGGTTTCCAACCGATTATCCCAATTCCCCTATGCATGTAAATCTTGAGACGACTGGCAATCATACTGTTAGTTTTGTTGATGATTTCTGATTTTGCAGTGAAATTCTTTTATCAAAATTCTTTGCAAAGATATCTACGATTTTTTAAATATTTGTTTTGTCTTCAAGAGTATCATACAGCACATTTAATATGAATTATAGGTTAGATTCAATCCTAACTTGTACAATGATGGGAAAGTATGCTTGTCGGTACTAAACACATGGCATGGTCGACCTGAGGAACGATGGAATCCGGAAACTAGTAGTCTTTTGCAGGTAACTACCATATATTATTCTTTCTTTTAGCACGCTCATTTGTTATGCCTCATTTGTTATGTTTAGCACGCTCATTTGTTATGCATTTCTCGATTTTTATTCAGCTATTTATCCTTAGATGCATACATATATATATTTAATCAAAGCTTTTTTAAATATTTATTTAATTTGCATAAAATATTTTTAAGGTAATTGTAAGTGTGCAGTCTTTAATCTTAGTAGCGGAACCGTATTTTAACGAGCCAGGATACGAAAGATCAAAATGTACTCAGGCGGGACAGCAGGTCTGCATTTCATTCTGCAACCTGTTTTATTTTGCAGTATCTTTTTGAGCAAAACTTTTCTCATCAAATTAATGCTTTGAATCGATGTGATTTCCTCTATTTGCTGAATTTTCTTCATCTTTTTCACCTAACAGAGTTTTAATTTTTTAATCCTTTGTTATATTAAAATTTCATTAATATCATGAAATCAATTTAGGCATCGCGAGATTATGATGCTAATATTCGACAAGCCGTGGTAAAATGGGCTATGCTTGAAATGATACGACATCCTCCACCAGCTTTCGCAGATATCGTGAAAAAGCATTTTTGGCTGAAACGGAAGGAAATATTGTCACAGGTTCCGAATACTGTGGATTTAAATTGCTTATTTTGACCCGTGACCAGGCATCTCAAGAAACTTGAGTTTTTTAATAATTTACTACACTTTATCCACTTAAAAATCGGATTATCTTATTCCAATCGGTTCTCTACACGTGCTTTTATTATTTTGAGATATCGAAATGGATCTCTGAGATGGAACAAACATTGAAACAACAACGTGGAAGTGGGCGAAACATTCACGGTCACCTCGCTTCTTTAAAGGTTTGTTCGAAGGTTTCAAGTTCTATGTCTGTTTTACCAATTTGCAATTTTCTTAGATTTACAAATCTTAACACAAACTACCTAAACTCCTGCATCCGAATGTCCATAGGTATTTTGAAAATTTGACTTGTTTTCATAATTCATTGTTCAGAGGCATGCTGCTGCACTAGAGGATGAATATCGACGGATGGAGTGTCCTGCAGATCTTCAAAGTATAAATGTCTCACTCACTCAGCAAGCAAATATCTCCGAAAACATACAGCAAGCAAATTTAACGGATGAAGATCAGCCACAAAGTTCGGATGATTCGGTACAGATACCTCACGACAGTTTGAAGAGCCTCTCAGTAATGAAGATTCTCAAACTGTGAAGGCTTTCATTGCATGTTTTCTGCGAGAAATCCTAAAGTTTTAACGAATTCTTTTGAACTCCCTCACTAGAACAAAATTCCGGGAATTCAAATGACAAAATCGAGGAAATTCTAGATTATAGTAGAGCATTTCGCGCTCAACAAATGCCAGGCTTACATAATTATGCATAACCAAAGTCGAGTTGTATTATGGACTTCACACATCCTGATCCTCCTCCACACACCACTGGCTCTTTGTGAACCACTAAACGGTTTCTCCTTCTGGTATATTTTGAAAATTCCAGAATATTCTTTTTGCTCTTAACTTTGGTTCATATGTATAGCAATTCTGTTATGTTGATCTTTGAAATCTCATTAGACATGTAAATATTAAGCAATGGTAGAACCGAATTAGATAGAGCGTGCGTCGAACAACGGGTGCAATATTGAACGCTATCTTTTCTGGCTTGTTTCATGAGACACAGTATATGTTGGATGTTGGAACATATTTTATGCAAAATTTTCTTTTCTCGTTAAAGATGTTTTTGAAAATTATTAAACGTTTTTTGTTTCACTCCTGGGAATTCTTTGATTCAAAATCGATGCAATATTCACATACATTATTTGTATCTTCTATATTGTTTGGTCTCCAAAATAACTACCATCGATGTACTGAATGCGGGGGCGGCCGATCACGACCGCGGCTTCTGACACGCAAAGAAGCTAATTCTGGATATGGCTCATATCGGAGCGGATGTCTGAGAGGCATCGGTGGTTGTGACATTCTTTCGTACTCGTTGAAATTTCGATATCGTTTTGGATTTCCATACCATTCTCCACCCACTTGTCGTCTTTCACGAAATCTAGAATCAATTGAACAGTTGAACTTTACAGTAGTTAAACTTCAAGAAATAACTTTCCATAGTTACAAAAGTCGTATGATTTTACAGGGAACCTAGAGTTTAAGACGAAGTTAATTTCAAATGCTTAATTCAATTCGAAACGCCTCATTGGAGTAGTTGTAAACCACGAAATGAATCTAACTGGTTTGCAAATGGTGGATAGTTGGACATGCGATCGTCCACGTAGGGTCCTGCTGGGGCCCAGCACGGTGGTTGGTACGGTCTATTATGCGAATCTATTTGGTGCACTTTGAAAAGCGGTCTAGGAACATGACCAATGCTATGTTCAACCATTCTTCGTCCAGCATCGCTTAATCCACGTCGTGGTATTTCGCGCGAAAACCCTATTTGAGGTCGATAGGGCTGAAATAGAAAAATGTTTTCATAGATGAATTGTACAAAACAGCAGATAAATTTAGAATTAAGTAAAATTAAAGTAATTACAAGAGATTTTAAAAAGCTTTTATTAGAACACAAATTAGATTCAACACACTGTTGTTCTACAAACTGCCTGACTCACTTCTCTGCGATCCAGATTCATGTCTTTCAAAGTTCGTGGCACATCAACAGCCCCCGGCAAACGTTTTGCAGCAAATACATGTCCTTTTTCAAACTGCGGATCTTTGTAAATCATCATAATAGCTTTATTTTTCTAGAAGTTATTGACATTTATATGATGGAATAAGGAATAAGGAGCAGATGATTACTAGCTAACAATATGAAAAATAAAGGATTTGATAAATCCAGAAAAGTACTCACAACTATATCCGCAAATTCTTCAATTGAAAGAGGCGATTTATAATTTTGTCCTTTCGTCACAGCTTTTGTATCTATACTGACAGTGCCGGCTATTCCAAACGTCAACGTAGTGTCAATTGCTAAAGCAATCGAGTCTGAAAGTTAGAAATAATTACCTCTCGATTTTATCATATCTTGTAGTTTTAAAATTCTTTGCTTTCATTCTTAAGAAAGTAATAGAATTTCATATATACGCACATGAGAAATTCATCTTAACTTTTAAAAGACCTTTGAGGCTGTTTCACAAACATCCTTAACATTGAATAAATATGAACAGATCGTTTTTATTCCTCTTACTTTATTACAACCTCACTACATGTCTACGTTATATCGAAATTCAATTAATAAGTTTCGAAACGTAGCGGTTTTAACTACATGGAGTATCGAATACAAGTACGTACCTTCTTTCCCGTTTTCATACAGCTCCTCCGCAAACTTGTAGAAAGGATGTGAAGGTCCAACAAATAGCCGATCAGGACCTCTGGAATTTCTTTCCTTTTCAAAAGCGTCCAATTTATCTTCCATCTTCAAAGTATTATCAATTTTCATAAAACTACATCATTAGTGCCAATAAAACGAATAATTAAATAGACAAGGTCCTACTGGAAACTATACCAATTTAAAGTTAAATTAAGCTAGTCTTAAGCATCGTATTGATGAAGATTTAAATACTCCTGGTCTTAATAAAAATGCCAACCTATTTCTTATTGCACCCGCTTTTCTTAAAAGAAAAATAAATTTTAATTATGGATTCGATAGCGAAATCCTTAAACTTAAAGCAAAGATTTTATTATTCTGCTAGTATATGGCAAAAAAGAACCGGTTTTAGGACTTCTAGAAGTCGTTTTTCATCCACAAACGGTAGTAATGCAACTCCTTGCCATGCAGACTTTTTACCATTTAAATCAACAATAAAATTATCAGGATAAAAATCGATTATTGGGGAGACCGGTGATATCATCAGTTCCTGCCAAGCTTCTGGCAAATGCATCCTAAACGTTACCTTGAGAGATATAGATATTTTTTTATTTTTCACTGGATATCAATCAATAATCAGTTCGCCAATTGCTGATTTACATTTAAAAAAATATTTTTCTACAAATGGAGAATAAACTAGTGCTGCAAGAATAACACAGGAGTTCAATTGAAGAATTAATGGCCTTCGTTTTCTTGTCTGTGTGACTCCTTTCCGTTTTAATAAAACTGTCTTCTTTTCCTATTAGATATACCTGCTTGCGGCTGGAAACACACCCATGAGCTGTTGTAGTGGCTTAAAAGGTTCGGTGTACGCACTGAAATCAGGCTTGAACTGAGAAACTGCATCAAAATCCGACGCGAATGGAGCGTAATGAAATGGATAATACCAGTCCCAACTTGCGCAGCCCTGAAGTTCGAAAGTTTGGTAAAATGAAAATTTAACGTCCAATTATTTATGAAAAATGGAAAGAACATAACCTGATAATAATATCGCAAAACCCAGCAAAGACCTTCTACATACGCAAGAGCAACTTTACGCCTGAATACAATATCTTTGCTATCTACTTGGAATTTGCTTTGATAATACCGATCTTTCCAACCATCTTCCCACAATCTCACTTCATCAAAGACTTCATCCTCTGAACTGGAATCATCTTTCTGAAAAAATAAAATATAGCTAGACCAACGTATAAGTATGTTAAAAACGCAAAATTGCTCGTTATAACTTTAAAAATTGCAAAATCCAATGATAAAAAAAAACCAATTCGTATTTGCGATCATTGCTTTCTAATATATTAGCAGCAGGAACATGTAATGCAACATTATTTACTGTCCGAGTGTGCACTGTTTCGGCGAAATTAAGCGCCTGAAGATATCGGAATGAATAGCTAGCAATTACAAAAACCAATGAAGCCTGAACTGCAGTTAAAATGTAAAATAACGAAATTAGCTCTACTGCCAGCTGAAGTTTCAAGATAAAATTTCGATCAAGTAATTTCAGCTCAGTTAAGATAAAAAATATTTGTTACCTCTAAACGAGCAGTGCGCGCCATTGCTCTGGTAGTGGATCCACTAAAGTACATCGGTCCATTAGCATGTGGTGCGAGAAGAGAACCTTGTGATGGGATGTACGATGATGTCGTAAGAGCTCGTTCACGTCGTTTCCTTTCTTTATTTTTTCTTTTGAATTGTTGTTCTCTTTCCTCAATAAATCCGTTTAAAAACATGAAAATAAGTTGAGACTAAAAAAAGAATGATAAAAAATAAAAAAATGAAAGTAATAATAATATCAAACCCAACCATGCTCAGCCGATAAAAATAAAAACTGAGGATTTATAAAAAGTGGCAACCAACCTGTCTCGACTTGAATATTTCATCTTCTACTTCACCCAGTTTATCAAGTATGATTTGAGCCCTTTCAATATCAACGATGCCAGAATCAGTGAGGTGTCTGAAAAGATCTAACTGAGAAAAAATAGAAATAAGAAATGGAAGTAAAAAGAATTAGTAATGGATAACTAAATTATCAGCTTTTAATTTTCGGAATAACATTTCGACAGAAATCGAAACTTGGTAAAGAAAAAAATACTTAAACTTTGCTCTTGTCGACTCCTAATCTTCGCAGATAAACATAAAAGATGAAAAATTATACCCGTTCATTTTGCAAACCATATCTTTGTACAGTTTTACAAGTCTATCAATAGCATTCTCTCGAATTTCTAGTGAAGGCAAATGAGGTAGAAAATCGTTACCAACAAAAAAGCACATGAACACCTGAAAATGTACTTTCCTATAAAGGACTGTTTTTTTTCCACCACCGAAGCATTCAATATCATCATCCATTCCATTTAGATCAGTATGTTGTTTAATATCTTACAAAGTATTCAGATTAAAAATCTGACCCAATCATCGATAGCTCGTTCCAGATCAAAAGGCATGGAAGAATTATGTATGTGCAGCTCACGTTCGAGGTATTCACGGAGCACGGGCAGGCGAACGAATATGAAATTTGTTTCTTTTTGTAATGGAGATGACTGACATTCTGAATCGTCATCGTGTGCCAACCTTTAAACGTTAATATAACGATTTTTTTGACATGAATTTAAACAAAAATAAAACTAATAAGGTTAGTCCACACTCATTTGAATTTCCTGTTAAAATGTTTTTTCAGAAGATATATAAAGCTGAGAAAGCACCCTTTGCAGTCATTTAAATCATGACCATATTGTCCACAAAGGTCACATGGTCTCTGCTGATTCGGCACAAATTCTTCTCTTATAATATTGAAATTAGGTTCATGAGTGGCCAATCCCAACATGATCAAATCAGCATCCGCCCCACACAAGCAGTGTACAGTATTAGGATCGTGAGATGGAGACGCTCTTTGTCGCCGTATAAAATCCATAATTTTGTGCTCGCCTTCGCCTGGCACATTTGCATCTGATAAGATTACCTTAAATTTAATCATTTAATCTCCTGAGAAATACTTGGAAACAGAAAAGAACATTTTTTACTTCAAAATTTTTAAAATCCTAAAAATTTTAAAAATTTTTCATACTTACGAAGTCTTTGACAACTGATTTTTACACAGTAAATACAAACGACCTCATAATTTCAAAAATACAGAGATTATAACAAACCTTACCGCAATTTTTTCCCAACCTGGGTCGCTATTCAATCGTTGGTGAACATAATAACGGAGAGCAACAGCTAGCCTAAAAGAAATGCTTAAAATAAATTCTAAAATCTTAATAGTTACTAAAAAATAGTTCAATAAATTTAAGAATTTTGGATAAGCTTACCGTGCCATGAAAGGTGTACCCGGTGTTATGCAATTACTATCAAAATGGTCATTTTTCTTTTCAGGAGGTAGTGGATAACCTTCGCTTTCTAGTCGAGATCTCGTTTCAGCAATTTGTTCAACTTTTTCAATAGCTTCCTTAGAGGCACGAAAACGTCGGCTACGTTGCTGGTTCATCTGAAACGTATTTTTACTAATTTGTGAAAAAAAAAGCTTCATAAATAAATTAGTTTAAACTCAGCAAAACTTGGAGTAATCGAAAATTATGCATAGTGGTGTCTGGAAATTTTATATGAATTAGTATTTTCAAACAAATGTGAAATTCGCATATAATCTAAAACAGTAACCTTCGCCCGTGGGGCCACACCATCAATTGCCATATAAAGAAGTTTGCGAGGACGAACGATTGAAAACAACCGATCTATATATTCGAAAATTAGTGTCTGAAAGGAACTATGTGAGGTCAAGGAAAATGTTAACAGTAACTGGATTCATTTAACAAAAATTAAAATCAAAATCAAATAGGATTAATGTTAAAATTTCCGCCATCTAAAACACTAACAAACATCTCCTCTTCCGTTTTGGGAGAGGGTCGATCCTCTGGATGAGTACATGGATGAATAATACCATTCATATCCAGATATAAATTATCGAATTCCTGAAATACATTCTACGATCAATACTGACACATTCTCATTTCTCATCATTTCAATACACACTATTTTGGAATCAAATATGTTTTCATCTGAGAAGATTTGTTCACTGAATTATACGATACACATGCACCTGGAAATTGGGGTTTGGATCAACAGTATTAACAGGAACTCGAACTCCATTTAAATCACGTGGCTTCTCTTCCACAGCATCCACAATAACTGATGGATATTTGCGAGTCAACCATCGAAAAAACGCTGGAACACCCATAGTAACGACTCTATGTTTTTTTATCCTAAAATCCTTTGCAAGATTACATGAAACTTTAAGACATAAAAAGTGAAATGTCCAGAACATACAATACACTAATGCACAACCTGTAGTTTCACAATATGAACGCCACTCACGTACCCCCCACCCATCATGACGCACGCTCGAACATTTAGCTTAATACGGATGCAATACGTCACGTTGGAGAAGTTGTTGCGAAAATTACAGTCTCACTGGCAGGGCATAGATTGGAATTTTAGGGTTCAGTGGAGTGGTTCAGAAATACTCTCAAGTAAGAGAAATTAATTTTTAGCATTCAACATATTGTGAGTTACGTGTACAGCGGTGGAGGAATTGCCAGATATCCCTCCTTGTCACATTTCTGCGGGGAGATATGAACAAATGATTGATCTGTTTAGATTGTTTGGTAAATAAAATTGGGAATAGAGATACGCAGAGAAGGCGAGAGAAATAGTATGATCAAAATGCTGAAATAACTTATGAACAAATAATGATACTTCAAAAATAGATGAATAGTGTTTTTTTCACTTTGTTTCTAATTTTAAAATTGTTGAGAGTTTTCATTTATGGACTGCAGAGCAAATTCTTTTATGTGCTTTTCATATTTATCAGTCTGGAACTTAACAATTATAATATCACTAATGATTCGATATTGATGATAGTCAGAAAAAATAAAAGCTAAAAGTAAGTTTTAAAATAACTGCAAATTTCAATAGGACAAAAATTTCTTGAAAAATGGATTTTTGTGTATGCAAATTAGGCCCAGAAAATACTGCTTCTTTTCATTAGCAAATGATTGCAAAATCGGTGGAAGTATTCATTGAAAATAGAATAACACAGTATAATAGTAATAGGTTACAAATTCTATTGCGTCACCGTAAATGAAACAGAGAGGGCTTGAATGGATATGGTACTACCGGGAGGGTGTTAATTCAGGTTGCGTAATTGAGCTATTGTTTAAGGTCAAAAAAATCTTCAGCAAGTTAGACTAGCTTGGAATTTACTTAATCCCTCTTCCTCATTAACCCCCGCATCATCTGTCCCTTCTGGTGCAAGCATTCGTATGGGGTGGGGCACCCCGCGGCGCTCTTTTCAAGGATCTTCTAGAAGGACCACCTGCCCGTCTGTCTGTCCATACTACTTTCTCTACTGTTCTCTCCAAATATCAAGCCTAGAAGCTTTTTACCTTCTGGCAACAGTGTGTGAAGTGGATAACGGACCGATTAGTGACCACTGTGTAGGTCAGTTATCGGTGCATGGACCTCCCTGAGACGATAATCCTCTTTACAGAAACAACAGCTATAGCAACACCATCAATACAATTCTACTGATCTGATAATTGCATTTATTCATTTTTTAATGTATTCGTATACTTGTTGCTGATAACAACAGTTAAATAATTTTATTTAATTGTGAAAGGCTCACTTATTGCCAGGAAATTTAATAAAAGGTGTGCATCGAGACAGAAGAAAAGAAATAGGTCAATCTGTGCATCTCAATGAGCAGTATGTCCGAATTATATTCCAATATTTTTCATTCACTTACAGAATTTTTGTATCAGACGATTAAGATCTCTCTTCCTATAATGCTTTTTTGAGAATGATTTATTGTGTTCACTAGTACATATTCGCCCAAACTTTTGCAAATTCTCAAAGAATTCGGTTTCAGTTGGATTTCTTTCCAGTAGAATTCTTCAGTGAATTCAAATTCGATATCTTAGGAAAGGTAATTACTATATATATATGTGTTCATTTATTGTCATCATTTGGCACAAGTGAAGGAAGTGTATGATCTGAGAAGTTTTGCATATCATTTAATATGCAAATGAGTAACATTGAAGAGGAGCTATTAACACGGGACTGTAAATCGTTTAGCAGGCAGTTATGAGAAGATAGATCGCTGCGATATTTGACATTGAAGATATTACACACTTCTCATTACACTTGCACAAAATCTGGAACTTTTCACACAGTCTTTTTGCAAAATAATTTTAACAAGATATTTTTGAAATTCAATAAGATGTTCAAAATTTTAATCAGATATTCAAAGACATTTGAATAAAATGTCTGAGCAATGAAGTGTTTCAGATCAGAAAATGTCTTATTACTCCATGGTCACATGCAAGTTGAAAAACACACGAAGAGAGAAGAAGGAGAAGGTTAATGGAAGTGTTTCATAGTTATTTGACCTCATGGTAATATAAATAACATTCAACTTCAGGGAAACGTTTAATTACGTGATCATATTACTGAAGCCGTAGACAGATATATGTCTTACTCATAGCTGATAGACACGGACGCAAAATGGCACTGAATATTGCTGTTTTTTTAGCAGTATATGACTGTTTAGTTGAAGTGAAGAATATGACGTACGTGTCTACGCGATATTTTGTGATCAAGCTACTTACAACATAGATAATAAGAATTTGAGCCTCATTTGAGATGTAAAATTTTTCCTTTTTTTCTATAAATCAATCTATTTTGCAACGAAGAAAAAGATGAAAACAACTATAAGCAGTAAGCTAATTTTTGGAAAGCTTGGCCATGTGAATAGTTCAGTCCAGTTTATCTTGGCTTATTGCTATGGAAGTCACAATGATGTGTCATTATATTATACATACAATATCTCTCATAAGACAGTTTTTACAGAACAGCAGTTGGTTGGGGAATAAAAGGGATGGAATAGTGAAAATGTGTTAATTGGTAGGTTGCAGCGAATAATTTGAAAGGACCTCCTTATGCTGTGGACTCTTTATTGGGGTCATCGTAAGCTTCTCACATTTCCACAATGTGTTTGCTATTTTCAGATTAATTTCCGGATTATTTAGAAAATAATTTCTTAGTTTTAAACTAAGAGTGAACGCCATCAAGAGAATATCTGACTTATGTTACCTTTAATATGCTCTCAATTCAGACATTTTAGCCAATTATATTTATCTTAAAAAAATAAAAAATGAAAAAATAACAGGAAGACAATAATGACGAATTAAAAATATTTAAAAAGCAGGCATCTTCATAGTCTTGATCAGTCATGGAAGTCTTAAAACTGAAATTTCCAAGCTGCTATTTTTAATGCATGGATTTCTTTCAAATTGTCAGCTAAATAAATTATTTATCTTTCCGGAAATTTTTCGTTAAACCGGTATTTGTAATCAAACAGTTGACACAGAAGCAGAGACCGTTAATAGATTTAACACATGGTTGTACGGGTACAGGTACGGGTACCGGTAATGATACAGGTACAGAAAGCTTAAGGAATGGCTGTGTCGTCTCGGGTACCAATTTGAAAGGTAAGGGTGGAGGTGATGGTCTAAAGAGTTCAATTGGTGCTAATGTACTCGTGGATCCTAAATGAGGTGCAGACGCTGAAGTTGCTTGAAGGACTGTTGTGGCATTGCCTTTGCTATCATTTCGAAGCTCATCCAGTTTTCGTCGTAGCTCGTTGTTTGCGTTTGTTAGGTGTCTGATCCTGAATTAATCTTTCAAATAATCCAGTAATCATTTTTTTCTAAAATCAGCTTTATTTCTTAAAAGCTTTTTTGTAAAAATAGAAGTTGAAGATGAGTGAAGAGAATTTGGAGCCGGAAGAGCTGAGCACTGAGAGTCTGGAACAACATTTTATTCAGGAGCACAGACCTGATCCCGATTACTTCATTTCGTTGCTGATTTTTTCCGTTGCTGTTAACTGAAAAGTTAGACTTACCAGTTACTAGCGAGAAGCAATGTATTGATTTTAGACATTTTCCTGGATCCAGTACGGTGCGAATACGGTAAGCATTGACGGAGCTCGTCAAGTGCGTCATTCAGATCATGCATTCTTTTCCGTTCTCTTGAATTAATACTCATTCGTAGAACCGCCTGTTCCTGGAAATTTACAAATTTTAAAACCTTATCTCTGTCCTCACTTCTGCAAATATTGGAATTAAAATTGTTAAGCAAACTTCTGGAGAATTGAACGCAAAATTATAACTATTAATAATAAGTACCTCCTCGTTAAGACCTTGAAGTTTATTCGATTTGCCAGGATTAACTCTTTATCGTCTTGCATATGGTTCGATTTTTTCCACACTTAACAAATTACTCTGAAATAAAGATTGGAATACGGTAGGCACGTGCCTCGATCTGACCAATGTGTCAAATAAACTAGGACCAATGTCAAATAAACTTAGTAAATCTTTGCTTATCTTTTCGCTAAACTCATAACGTAATTTTGGTCTTTGAAATTTAACTTCGTCAAAGTTTTATTTCACTCCTTTTCAAGTTTAGTTTTACCTTGTTACGGAATTCAATTAAAATTTGAATCTAATTTTATATTTTATGCTGTTTGTTGTAAATTAAAAATACAACAGCGGTAGCTTTATTGTATATATTGCCAAAAGTTCAATAGTTATTTATTGGTCAAAACTCGTTCTCAAGATGATTTCTGGTCAAGAAGCATAAGAAAACTCACAAAAGTGGACATCAGGACATTTCGTTTGATTAGCCCATTGAATACACTGTCGTTGTTCAGGTACTCAGAGATAATTAAGCGTAATGGTGAGGTGTTGGGATAA